GGAATGTGGGAATTGTGGTTTGTCTTACCTAGCCAGTGCCATCTGAGAGTGATTAAGAGATGTCATGGCAGAGGGAGTTTTAAGGAAGGATAGTACAGTGACCTGTGATCATGTGATTTGCTTCATTATCATACAGATTATATTTATAATGCTAATTACAATTTTGACACACACCCCCATTTGCAGGCTAGTGAGGGAAGGGTGATGTCTTGGGTGCCAGCTGAAGTGGGTGTGGTTGAGGATGACGTTCTGATAGAGGAGACTACTGGACAGCTGCCTTTTAAAGAAGAAAAAAAATTGAACAGGGCAAGAGATAAGAGAATAGAATGGAGTGATCAGGCTGGGGTAATAATCTTTATACCATGTTTAATTACTTTCTGTTTTGTTTTTTGTTGTTTTGGGTTTTTTTTTTCCTTCTGGATTTGCTTTTGCACAATAAGAACACATGGTTTTGATTTGGGCAGAGGGGGCGTGGGAGAAAGTATCTGACAAGAATGCTTTCGTTCAGTGCCTTAAGCAGAAGAATGGCCTAGTTTCCAAGCCTTATGGGTTCAAGAGTACAGCTATATCTTTCTTATCCACAGGAGATGGGCTTTAGCAAAGTGGAGAATGCCTGTGTTTTTTCCTTGTAAGATTATTTTCCTTAATCCTAAATACACCATTAGGTTGTAAGTTGTGACTAGTAAGAACAGGGTATGTTCTCCTAAACTTATTTTGAAGGTCAGTGTTTTCTCTACGCAGACTTTTGTTTTGTTTTAGCTGATGTCTTGAGGAAGCTCCTATGTTGTGGGGAAAAACACATTTTTAGCTAAGGACTTGTGCTCAGAGAGAGCAAGGTTCATTTTGTTACAGTGTGTTATCCATTTTGAAGTTAACTTTCCATGTGAATCATACAGAGTCATGGGACAGGTGATATAGATCTTTAGTTTAATTTTCTTTCTGTAAAGAGAAATATTATGGAGCAAATCAGTGAAAATGTAGCTTCACACTTCAGTATTCTTTCTAAGCATTGTAAAAGAGCATATAGTGTTAAAGTTCAGAAAGAGTTAATGCAGTTTGATTGTTCTGTTTGTTTAATTTCATACTTCATGGGGTTTTTGAGGTTCATGGCTAAACATAAAGTTAGATTGTTTATGGTTGGTGTTCTGAAAACTGTACTTACATGGTGAGTGGAGTTAAATGCTGAACTAGAACAAGGAGATTATGTTCCATGGAGCCTTGTTATCGGTGGGGTCCCTACCATCATATTTTTCTGATCACATGGACTTACTGTTTATATTAATATAGCTTTTTAAATTTGCTATCTCTGCACTTAAAACGTTTTAATGAGTAAAGGCAGCATTTTTTTTCACCCATGTCACCCACTTGGATTTATAAATTAATGTTTCTACCATCACAATTGGTGATGTTTAGCAGAGAGAGTTCCTGCTAACTTCTAATTGATATAAATAGTTTAAATACAGAAAAAGTATTTCATTGAAGTGCAGATACAGTGATTTCTGTAAAATTATGTTCTCCGGTGGTTTGTATTTATACTTGCAGAGGTTTTTTTTCTTATTCTCACGATTTAGTATGGACTTAGCCTTAATATCTTACTGATGTTTGAGAGAAAACTTTAAACACAGTTTTCCAGTAGAGCAGATTCATTGAGAAATTATCTTGTGAAAAGGAGAGATAATTTTACTATTAATGTGGAGCTAGAAATCTACAAAAATCTCTCTATATATAAAAATCTAAAACCCTAAGACAGATTTCTTAAAAATTGGCCTACTAACAATTTGAGAGTTTGAGCAAACTTTTCAGATGTTGTGACAGACAGAAAACATTTTGTTTAGATATTATCTTTTAGTAGCTTCAACCTTTCTTTCTATTTTCTGTTTTTTCTTAATATATGTCTATGATATGTGCTGCCCGCCAGGGCAATATACAGTACTAGTAAGTTTCTGCACACAGTGACATGTCTCATACTTAATTTATTTGTGTTGTGGTCATGACACACAATCTATTAACTTTTTTTGTTGTTGGAAACACAATGCTTGCTTTTTGTGTTGGTGTGGGGGTTTTGGGGTTTTTTTTTGTTGTTTTTTTTTTTTTTTTAATCTTTCTGGAATTTCAGAAGCACAAAAAAAATTTTTTAATGACCTCACAGTTTTTTCTGGGTCTTCATTCTCAAGTGCTTAATCCCATCTAAGTAGTGGGAAATCAAGAAAAAAATGTTCTTCACAGTTGAATGTTTCTGAAAACAAATATGAAAGCAGGAAAGTTCCATCCAAACTTTCACATCACTCAGTGTAATGAATATAGTGCAACTGAATCTGAGTTTTTGTAATAAGCTCTTTCTCCACCTGGACTACCAAGCCTGTTTAATTGTTAACATTTTTCTACTTTTTTCACATTCTAAATTAATTTTTTTTATGTCCTCTCTGCTCAGTGCTAAACTGAGCTTTAAATTGGGCCACTTGTATTTCATCTAAGAAAATGTCTTTTTTTGTTTTTCTGTGAATAACTTAGTGAAATAGTAAAATCAAAGGATTGCTGAGATATCAAGGTCAGCTTAAGACTTCATAGCTGTGTGTGATGATGCAGCTTAGACAGCTTTGGTGAGCATCCTCACGAATCTAAGGTTAAAAATTGCAAGAAGGTAGAGACAATCCTTGTTCTTCCTCCTTCTTAAGGCAGGTTTCCCCTTGCTGGTTTCATCTTATTTTTTCTAAGTAGTGACCAGACACACTGTAGCTATTGTGGTAAAATAGTTTAAGGCAGAAGCATTGGAAGGTACTCTCTGTGCTTATCATAATCCTGCTTCTTTTTGAACTGAGAAGGCAGTGGAAAAAAATGTTTGGTTGTTTGGTGTTTGGTTTTTGGTTGGGTTTTTTTTTGTTTGGTTGTTTGGTTTTCCAGATGAGCATTTTGTCAGGGATTTCTTTATGCATGCTTTAAAGAAAACATCAGCTTATGCTGAAAGACATGTTCACAGTCATCGTAAGGCATCTGCACAGTTAAATTCAGCTGGGCTACAATTAACTCCTAAAGCAATGAACGGGACGTGCTCGTGGAGCAGTGCCACAGCTTAGGCTATAATGATTGATCAATAGAGTGTATTTCTGTAAAACCCAAAAGCACAGGTTTTCTGTGCATCTCTCTAGAATGGAAGATAATTATATTATTCTAAAATTCTCCCTCTTATCAGGAGAGCTGATCGACAGTCACATCACTTAAATCATGGTGGAAAGCAGGCTTTCTTCTGCTGGTATGAGTGCATTGTCTGTACATTTTCAAGTTCTAATATTCTGTTCATTGCATATGGATCCAGGAAAAAATAATTTTCTTTCTTTTGTCTTACCATTCCTTTGCTGTAGGACACCTTAGGTGTGGGCTGCGGGTGTCACCGTGAGCAGTGGTCTGCACTCCACTTGTTTGGATAGCATCCACTTGTTACAGGGCTTACGATCAAGATGACTTTTGTAAAGACTCCTGCTGAGCTGTTCAAGATTTAAGTGCTCAGTACTAATGACTCCTGGCCCTTTGTGTGCAAACTGTTTCAGGTTTGCAATGTTTTGTAGAAATGTAAGACATGTTACTGAAACCTACATTCATAATACAGTAATACAACCATGGTTTGATTTCCAAGCTATATACCAGCTCTAAAGAAGCACTTGCAAAAAAAACGAGCGGTAAAACATTCTTTAAATTTTACAGTAATTTTGAGGGCCCAGTAAGTGTAATGCCCTGATATGTGTGTTCATAGCCGTAATTATTTCTCACCTAAGGATTGATAAGCATCAATCCTTAGGTGAGCATAGTTGAGTTCCACTGAGGAGAGAATGAAATGCGTTCCTGATTTCAGATGCCTTGTTCACCATGACCCTAGTGAGGTGTTGGCAAGTAAGCAGAATAATAATCCTGTTTTACACCTGAACATGTGACCTGTAGAATTCACAGAAGTAGAAAATTGTTAATCGTGTTAGTTAGAACAAAAAATGATGTCCAAACTTCTGATATATCTTAATTGATTCAACATAAGGAGCTTTGTGCAGTTGTGTTGCAGATCGGTGTTTTAAACATATAGAATTGTGATATGGATAGCTTGAGTAAGCAGACGGAACTTTATTTCACCTCCGATGAAAGCACTTGTGCAGTACATCGATGTTCACGTAGCTGAACATGCAGAGTTACTGGATAGCCCATGGCAGTCTTTTGCAAGAGCAGGTAATGACAATATTACCGGCGACAAAGTCTAATTGTTTTTATATTATGAAGTAATAGTAGTGCATGATAACTTTTCAAATATCAAGCAGAGACAAAATTAGGCAATGTTGTTCAAAGTGATATCTTTCATTAGACAGATGTGGTTGGATAAAAGAGATTAGATCTGGGTAGATGAGGCTCTAGCAGGACTTGCTGTAAAGGCTCCTGCCCAATGCTAACCTCATGGTAAAACCTGTAGTGCCTCTGCTCGGCTGTGCTTCTCTGTAGGAGGACCCATGCCTTACTCACGATGCAGTAAAACAGGAGGAGGCGTAGCCTTAGTCACTGTGATACAGTGCTATTTTCAGCTCTCTTGGAAGCTTTCCTCCCGGCTTCCTCCTTTCCCCACTGCTGGTTCTTATCTTTTCTATCTTAACTCAATACTTAGGAAGAAAGTAAAAGGAAAAAAAAAAGTAAAATATCTTTTACTTGTCTCCAAGCAGCCCCTTTTTCAGAGGGGAAAAGGCCATTTATTCTTAAACTTAAAGGTTATCACATATACCATTTTCCTTATTTAAGCCCTCAAATAATTGACCAATTTCATTTTTAGACCTGGTGATGGTCTGTAACCTGCCATCACAGCAGCTTTGTCCTTACATACTTCCCAATATCCATCTTTCTGAGATTACATTTACCCATGTTCATTAAGTTGCTGGCCATTTAATACCTGTAATTTCCTGTCTTATCACATTCTTGCCCCACTATGTTGTTTCCCCCCACATTTTGCTTACTAACATGCTTTTCTGCTTGAACGTGTATACTTTTTGCCAACTTCCTTATGCTTCTCACTCCTTCTGGGACTTGTTCCAGTTTTGCTCATTTAATGACATAAGTAAAACCAATACAAAGCTTTACTAAAGCTACGTTGTTGTAGCTCTTGTTTGCGCCCTTCAAGTAATATCCTTTTGTATGAATCCCAAGGAGCATTTTCGGATGGGAACAGTCTGAATTGTCAAGCTAAAGGGAGTGAAGAACTGCTTTGCTGTGGGTCAGCTGGAGGGAGTTGTTTCTGGTTTGGGTGCTCTTGAAATTATTGGCAAAAAGGATTGTTAGAACTTCAAATACTCATCAGTTAGACTGTAGTTGTCTCACTCTGCATTTCCTTCCCTCCCCCCTAGTAAAGTTACTGTGCTTTCTTCCCTCAGATAACAGCAGAGAGTAACCAAAGCTTTACAATGATTACTTAGAAAGAACATACAATTTTATAATGCTCTTTGTAGAGAGAGAGATATTTTCTTTATAAACTCAGTAGACAGGCAAGGAATTTAATATGCAAGAAGTGCAGACTTGGGGCAGGAAAGCGTAGGGTGTACTGCAGTACGTGTAGCAGCAGTGTAAGTGACTTACTTGTGCTTAAACAGTAAATATCTGAAATTCCTTTTGAGAGTGCATGCTTGGCTTCAGTTGTATATAAGTATCTTCCTAATTCTTAGATGTTTCTGTCATTACTTAAAATAAGCAGAGGCATAGCTCACAAATTCAGAGAATCTTGTGTGTTGAGTCTGATTTTTGCCATGGAAATTACCTTAGCCTGTTAAATGCTACGTTGAGCTTTTACAGAGGATATGGTTGTTTTCCACAAGTGAATTACATGTGTGGTGTATTTACTCATACCTCTGTTCCAGATAATATTATTGATTGAAGGTAATAGAATTCTTTAAAGCATTTGGGTTTTTATTTAGGTTTGGTTTTTTTTCCAACAGTAATCAGATTTTCTTCCCCCTACAATTTTTACAGTAAGGACTGTCTACTGGTGGTTAAAAAAAGTCAGGAAAATGTTACTACCTGGTGAAGGACTAAAATAGTATTTTCTCCTTAAGATCAGACTCCAGAAGGAATAACAATTGTAATCGTTCAATACAGTGAGATATATACAGAAAATATTAATAATACTGTTTCTGAGTAGTCTTTATCAGGCATACTTATGTATAATAGCTTTTAAAAATTGCTTTTCTTAATTTGTTATTAAATTAACAAGGTTGCCTGCTTTTTAGAGTTCTTTCTTCCAGTGATGGACATAAGATGCACAAGAACAAAGAAAATTTATGAAAGCACTTCACAATGAAACTCTTGCTCCATCTACTGCATAGTCCAGAGAAATCTTACCTACATACAGAAAGTTGGTATGAGCAATGAGGGTCGATCCAATATGGATGCTGGAATTAGTTAATGGAAGGCATAATTATTATTAAAAAATGGATGACTACAGCAGCATTTTGTAGACAAGCTAAAGGAAATCTAATCCCTCAACCCATGTGAAGCAGAATAGACTGATAAAATAAAAATTGCATTTAAAGGTCCTTTTTAAGAAAGCTGTTCTTGCCTAGCCAGTGATTGCAGAAGTAGAGTGATTGTATCAAAATAAAATTTGATGTTTTATAAATACTGCAAGATAAAATATTGATGATGATTATTATTGGTGCTACCGTTAGTATTTGTGTGTGTGTGACCTTTTGTAAAACTTTAGTTTTGGTATTGTGTACAGGCGTTTTTACCATGACTCATTAAGTCCATTTCCTAGGGGTGTGTAATATTTTGTTTGACTAGGGTTATTTTCAAAGTGAGTGGTGTCAAGCCTTCTGGAGTCATATAGAAGAGATAAACTGGATTCCTATATCCATTTGTTTTCTTTCCCTTCACATAATTACTAACCTGAAGAAGCCGAATTAAATATAGCACTTGATTATTAGACTAAAGTTATTATGGTGAAGTGAAATATTAATAGTGCATGAGCTATTTTCCTAATATTGTCTTGATTTAATTGAAGATATTTCTAAGGCTAGCTCAGTGGGTGACAAAGAGGAAGAAGAAGAAAGCAAACTGGGAGACTGTCAGATATATTGGCAGGTAGTACAGTTATCATATATTGAAGTTTACTTCCAGATAATTTTTGAGAAAGGGTAGAAAGCTGTGCCTGATTTCAGGTCAGCTCTCAGGTGGTAGGAAGACGGTAGAAAATGAATAGATTCTTTGTTAGCTGCTTGGTGAAACAAGAAAGGTATTTAATGCAATAGCTCTCATCCCCTGGGGTTGGAAGGGTTCTAGTTAGTTTGGTAAATTAAGGAAAAAAAGAGCAGAGTTCCCAGTGAGCTTGTGGTAATTTAGGGATTGCATGAGGGGATTGTGATCATCTCTTCTACGGCGCTGTGGCTTTCCTCATCTCTTTAAGAGGCAAAGGAGCATCTTAGGACTGTGGATGGGAGAGGGACCCTTGGCAGGCTGATGGTGGAAGAGAGAACATAACATTGCTGTCTAACCCGTCCTAAGACCTGGAATAATTCAGTGATGTCCACTTGAAATCTGCATAAGGATGACTCTTCTTTAAGGTTTTGAGGATAGATTCCCAGTTGCTGGTAGGGAGATTGATAGTCCCTGTCACCTGCTGACATTGTCCTCGGATTCCTCTGACTTCTCTGCTTTCCTGACTTTCTGTTCCTTAAGACCAAATCAAATTAATTCCTATTTTAATGTGAGGCAGCATCTGATTAGGTAAACCACCTCAAGTGGGGATTTCCAGACTGTAAGACGTGTTGCTCTAGTGTTAACCAAACTGTTTTGATGTCCGGCTCAGGACAGAACCGAGAGTTGCCACTAATAATCCTGGGCTGGAGGCCACCAGTGCTGCTCCTGGTTATTTGCTGTACCTCACCATCTAGATAAAGAAGTCTGGAAATGCCGGACTTTGACAGTTTGCAGGCGGGGTACTGTCTACAAAGACCATAGCTGGGCATCTGGAATTCCTCACTCACTGATTGTCAAGGGCTCGAGAGAGAAAGTCATACACTCTTTTTTTTTGGTACTTTTTCCCTTCCTGTTGGATTGGCTGCTTGTTTTAGTGACCATATTCATTTTGAACACATACTAGTTCTGTTCAGCCCTTTAATCACGGATTCTTTGGCTTGTATTCTTAAGCCTTATCCATATATCTCTATATATGTACATTATTTCTTCTACATTTTCTTACCTTTTTATTTTAATGGGCTGGGTGAATCCAGCATCTATTATTTATAGTATTTTCTTTGCATCCTGTGATGTTTTTCTTTCACTTCCTTTGCTGACTTATGTAACATGGACTATTTAATTTGTTATTTTCATTCTTTTTCTTGTGCTTGGCTTTTACATCTCAGCTGTAGTCACTCATGATTTCTGTTTATGGTTTGAATTCATTACATTGACAGATACCTGCAGCTGTCAGTATTCATTATCTACTGTATTACTACATCTGCCAGTTTAAAGCATATAAAGAAATATATTATTTTTTCCAGCTATATTGCATACTTCGCAAAATCTTTGAGGAAGATTGCTGCTGTTTGCTCTTCCCCCCCCTCCCCCATTTATTCAATTAAGCTTTCTAGCTGCATATATTTCTAAAGTGCTAAATTATGGTAGCTTGTGATCATAAATAATTGAAGGCCAAAGGTTAAAATAGGTGTTTGCATGAGTTTAGAAATAAGGGGCTTCAAGGAGATTGTAGTCTGAGCTCTGTGTGGAGTGCACTCTTTGATCTTAAGATATGAGCTGGTCCAAGGGGCATACAGTGTTTGGACAGCTTAAAGTTAAGCATAAATCTGTGCAAGGTTGGGAATATATTTGCTAAGTTGAAATGCGGTGTAGCCTTATCTACATAAAGGTAAATAGTTGCTGCAGCCCAACTGAGGACATTTTATTTGATCTGTTAATTAACACTTAAATGAAAAACAGGATAGAAAGCACTCAGCAGAAGACTGTCTTTATTTTGCTTAGTTTTTTTTTTCTTTGCGTTCATCATGTTCCACTATACTGGCTGGCTTGGATATGTCATAATCTTGCTCTATACGTAATACATGGTTTGTGCTTTCAGAGGACTAAGTTTATGGTGTCCTTATAACTTTATATGCAGCTCCTACCATCAGATCAGACTCTGCTAGAATGTTCTCAGTAGACAAAACCATTGTAACTGAATGCTGCTTGAGTGCAGGCTCATTGATAGAAGTGTCCTACGCAGTCCAGGGTGCTTCCTCCTCTTAGGAAGGTGGGTGTTTTTCCTGTGCCAAAATATATGTTGCTTCTCAAAGTCAACCTTTGTATCAATGCTTATGAAAAAAAAAACCAAACATCTGCAGAATATTGAGTCTGATTACATCCTGGCTTAAATATTAAAACTTCATTTCCTCGATAGATTGGGTCCAGTAGGCCCTCTGCTCTTCAGTCTTCTGATGCAAGCCTTGTTAATGACATCAGAAGGCCTTGCTTCAGAGAGATGGGCCAGAAAATATTACCACACCTTGAATATCACCTAGCTTAGTATGCTCCAGTGCAGCAGGCCATTGTAGTGCTCTCCAGGTCAGGAAGAATTCCCTGCCTCTCCCCTGAAGGCTGCAGCTCCTGTGGAAGGGCATGAGATGGACCCTGTTAATCTGCTGTAGAAACATGCATTATTTTTTTTCTTCCTCTTAAATTTTCATAATTAACTGATTGCCCAACTGCTTTTAGATACATTTGTGTTGTATGTACTGTATTGTATGAAGGGAAATATTAAGATGAATCTGTGTACCTTTTAGATTAGAATTCCAAGATCCCTAAAAGATATATGTCAAAATAATATTGGAAAATCCTTCTGAATATTGGTTAACCTGATTTGAAACATAGCTTGACATGATCCTCAAACATTGCAGAGTCCTGCACTGCCCTACAGTTTCTTTTCTAGGACATACGTGCATCAATTAGTATGTATTGCTCTCAGGTTACATACTTTAATTGGTCATCTCTTCACTTTTTAGAAGCAGGCTTTACTTCAGAAAGTTAATAAGACCTTGAGGTAAAATAGTCTTCAAAATAAGATGGTGATCTGTCTTGACGGATTCATCATTGGATCCATTGGACGAATCCAGTATTGGGGAGATAAAGACTTTAGAAATGCCGTCCAGCTCATTAAAGGAGTAACTTAATTTTCTCTTTTATGTAGCAGAAATGTTAAGGGTGCGTTGCCCATGCACGTCACTTCTAAAGGATAACTTCTTAAGCTCACATTGTGTACGCTTCTGTCTCACACACCCAGTGCAGGTAAACAACACAAATAAGGAAGTCTACTTATTTGTTTGTAGAATCTCTATGGTTTGGCTTGGAGTTTGTTGTTTTTTTTTTTTGTAGTTGTTTGGTTTGGTTTGGTTTTTTTACCTTGTTGTGGAATGGGTGTATCTCCTAGCTAAAGTTTCACTACTGGTGTCAATTTGCCTCTGCATTATCAAGAAAAGTGGTGTGATCAATTTTCTTTTCTGTGTTGTTCCCGTCCTGACAGTGTGGCCCATGAAAGCTTAACACGGAGCTGATGTGATCCTGTCTTCCTGGTGCTGGCTGTTCCTCTTCCTCCTTGGGACTCTGCTGATTCTTGGGAAATTGTCTGGGGGTACATGGGCCCAGGGAGCTGGAGGTGACCCTGGCAGAAGAGTTGCTAGGTTTTGTCTGGCTTGGCCCCCTGTGTCAGCTCTCCATCCTGCTGCCTCAGTGGTTGTGAGTTGGTACGTGCATGTGAGCGGTGTTGAGTTGGCTTCAGCAACCAGCACGCCACTTGTGGACTCTTCCAGAGTATGCAGTGGGCAAAGAAAAAATTCCCATTTCATAAACTTTGAGAGAAAGAACAAGTTGGGATTCAGAGCCTGGTCCCAATTAGCTGTGTGTATACTTTCTTTCTGTAGAAAAAACCTCAGCTGGCCCAGAAGGCTGGTTGTTTGATTGTGAGCATCAGAGGCACTTAGCACTATAATCTGGTCGCTCTTTTGTGAGTAAACCTTGCCTCTTGCTGCTCTTCTCCTTGTCTGGAGGCAAGCCTCAGGTCTCTAAGTAGGAGTCTCCAGACTGTAGAAACAACCCTTTCCCATCAGTTTTGGGGTTTGATATAAAAGCATTTTCCACTTGTACTCCTGCAATCGTTCGAGGAGCTCCATGTGCTTGACATGATCCTGAACCATAAGTTGTTTCGTGTTGCTCTTCTGCCTTTCATCAGGCCGGTTGAAAAATGACCTGGCTGCATCGTTTATAAGTGCAATAAAAACTCCTGCCAGTTTCCTTTGCCAGAAGTTTCGCTTTCTGGGTGTGTTCCTGTTCTAGTTTGGTTGGCTCAATTAACAATCAACATTAGCATTTTGTTTTCTTTTTGTTTTACTGAGGGTTTTTGAGCAAACTGTGAGTGCCATGGCGTTCAGCAGCAGTGCCCCGTAGCTGCCTGCCACTCCGGGTGCTGGCAGGATGTCCTGGCTGAGCTGGGAACACTCACCAGGAGCTCTGTGCTGGCAAGTTTAAAGATCTCACGAAGAAAGTCAGAAAAGACTGGCGAGGTTAACCTAATCAACTCCTCAGGAAGAGCAATGGCTGGCAAGAAATGTTGAAGGAACTTTCTCTGTGTGAAGGGCAGTGTTTAAATGTGTCCAGGAG